GCAGGAGTTTTTAAAGAGACAGGAGCCCAATTTTAAGGTTTCTTTTAAGTCATTTTTAAGTCATTCAGTTGTTTTTATAACAACTGAAGGTATCATAGTCACTTCATTGTGCAATAAAATGGAACTATGTTCCTGGAAAACACAAAATACTGTCCCTTTAAGTGAAAAAGTAAAAAAAAAAAAACCTGTTTCACGCCACTCCCTGCAGACGTTTACCTGCAAGGCTGTTAAGGAAACACACTCTTTTGCTCTGCAACGCACGTTAGATTCAGCGAGAGCGTGTGACTCTAATCACCCAACATGGCTGCGCTTTGCACATCGTTGCACCGAGGAGACGAGACGGAAATAGATACAGGCCTAGAAAAAAAAAAAAAAAAACTCTGGCGGAGCTGACAGGAGAATGCTTGATGTGGACTTAAATAGGACGTACACAATGCACCAGAGAACATCTCTCATTACATAAGACCTGTGTGTATTCAATTACCGCTTCCCCTCAAGCTCTGCCGCTCTAAATGCCGGGACGTTCCTGAGCGCTCCGGCCATTGTGCTAACACTCACGACTTCCCTCCACTCACTGCTGTGCAGAAGTCACATTAGGCCAGGGCCGTGCCCACTGCGACCCCCCCCTCCCCCCCCAACCACCACCACTGCGGGGCCCCTGCCATGGCTCTCTCGTGAAGAACAGAAGCGGAGGAAAGAAGCTATAAAAGATGAAGGAAGTAATGGTGAGGAGCAGCAGAAGAGCACTAAGTTAATGGATGGGGGTTATTATATGGTGGGATAATGAGAGGGAGGGACAGCTCTATTAGGCTGGTGATAAAGACTGGGTAGCAAAGCTAAAGGGTTATATGGAGCACGGGCTCTATTACAGCGGGGAGCCGGGGACATCATAATCCCTGTGGCCTTATAAGTAATTACTATGTGATAGGGAGAGTGAGTAGTAAAACCTATCTACTGTCAGCAGAATTGGAATTATCTCCCTAATGGTTTCTTCATGTTGGTGTGTGTGACCGTGTGTGTTTACTGCGCCCCTACCCTTTAAAGATCTGAGTGGTTGACTTTGGGGGGCTGGAAGGTGGAGAATGTTTGTGGATATTGAGGGCATTTTTCATTCCTCCAAAGCAACCACCTCTGCAACTGATGTGTGATTATGGGACTCTATAGACGCCTGTAAATGTGTGTGTGTGTGTGAATTCCAAGCCAGCAGGAGGTCTGGACAGGAGTGTATGCTGGTCGTCTTAGGGCAGGTATGCACAGAGGCCAGCCCGCTCACCTGAAAACCCTCAGATTGTTAAGAAGAGGAAGATAAACGGCGCTCTCTGAGTGTTTCTGGAGAGCGGCGCTGCTGCTGGGTCCCAGTCATTTAGCATGCAGTTTGTTGTGCACAAGGCAATTTTTACTCTCCAGACTGAGGAAGCTGACCCGAACCAATTAAAGTTTGTTTACCTTTCTGTAATTTGTTATAGTTGAGCCAGTTGGACCCAATTTTGTACTTCCTCAGCAAGAATTCATAAACTGTGAGGTGTTTAAGCAGCACATTGTCTTCTATCTTCCATTTAGACTCTGAAACAAAAGCAGTGCATCACGGTCTGCACCAAACTGCAACTATAGCAACAGCTTGTCCTCACTTTACATGGGTTATGTTTTAGATGTATTGGAAGACATACCTTTGCTCTAAAGCAGAAATAAGCTGGTTTGTTATTTGTGTTCCCCTTCCTACTGTTCCAACAGTTTAACTCTCTGCTCATTAAACGAGCAGCAGCAGTCGTCGTTTGAGACATCGCTCCAGCTCAACCAGGCTGGGTGGAAAGAGTCTGTCAGCAACAATTCTCAAGTTTCTCAGTTAGATTGAAATCTGGAATTTGACTGGACCGTTCTAAAACGTGGATATGCTTTGATCCGACCCATTCCGTTTGGTTCTAGCGACATCTTTTAACTCTGAGCGGTATTAAAGAAATGCATTATCGCCCCCAGCATGACGGCACCACTCCTATGCGGTTCACCGTAGGAGATGTTCAGCCTCAGGACTGTTGTCATGGCGTTTTGCTTTTGTTCTCATCTGACCAGAGAACTTTCTCCCTGAACATTTTGTGGCAAACTGAGACTTCATGTTGGTCTTTCATAGAGTTCGTCCAGCTGAACTCTTTAATTATGCAACACTTTGTGTCGGTCGGTGACAGAATCCCAACACGATGCAGTGACGGTTATGGTTGGACTCTGACTGAATGAGTGGCACTGCAGGCCTTTTGAAAAGAAAAGGTTGATAGATGTTTGATGTCAGAAAGGAAAGCGGGATTAGGATTACGCTTTAATGTAACCGGGGCAACGGTGGCGAGGGCGGCAGCAGGTTGGCACTGTAATCGGAGGATCACCAGTTTGATTCCCGGTTCATTCTCTTCGCTTGTGTCCTTGTGCAAATGACACTTCACCCACCTTACCTGCTAGTGTTGGTCAGAAGTATTGGTTGTAATTCTACAATTAGGTTTTTTTTTGTTTTTTTTTACCTTTATATTTAAAAGCACATTTCAGGTCTTTATTATGTTTTGGCCAAAGTTTTGAAGAACCACTGTGGAATCCTAAAGAACCACATGTGGCTCGGGAGCCGCAGGTTGGAGACCTCTGGCAGAAAACATAGGCACACACATGGAGAGCGAGTAAAACTCCTCCAAAATACCTGAGGCCAGTGTTCCAAATCAGAACCTTCTTACTGCAACAACTGAGCGCCGATTCCCAACAAATGATCATCTACAGGCGCTTTATCTTTTGGTCAAACCTTTGCAAAATCTAAAGACCAAAAATCAGACACAAAATTTAAATCAATGCATCTCCATTTGGAACTATTGAAACTCAAAACAACTGTTCAACTTTTTAAAAATGGACTCTTCCTAGGTGTTGTAAAGCAAGAAAAGTCATATTATCTAAAGATATGGTTGTTTTTGAGAACTGGTCACGTTACTGAAGAGAAATAAAAAGCTTCTAGTGTCTTAAACAGACAGCAAGTCAGCTTCAGTTTGTATTATTAGTGTTATGCTGTCTGACTGAACAATAAAACCCACATCAACCCCAAACGCCTCCAACCAAACTAACGTTAGAATCATCTTCGCTAGTTAGCTTGCAGTACATTAGCCTCCTTTCAAGCAGACGAAAACCCAGCCTGAATTTCTTCATGTTTTTGTTTTTCTTGTTACCACAAATAAAAAATAAAATTTAAAAAATTATGTTCAAATCAATTTAAATAAAAACAAGCAAAGAAATAAACTGTCCATCCTGGAATCGTTAGCAGCCAAGAAATGTCTGCTGTGTCAGTTTGCTGATGGGATGAAATGCTGCCACCAGCTGTCAAACAAACTGTTACTGTGGAACGCTGCTGCCAATCTGAGCAATTTAAATGACACCAGCATTGCCAAGAAGTGATGGTCCATCATCTGAAGAACACACGCAGACACAGCGTTGGGTTTCAACTTCTCTCACAGACTGACAGGGAGAGACATCCCCACGAGTGAATGAGCAGGATAATGTTAGAATGAGGCTGGTATCGATTTAGCTCCCTCAACCGCCGCACACTACGCATAGTAATTGGCTCAAATTGTGTTCATGAGTGTGTGGACAAAGGTAATCAATAGAGGTTGAAACAAGAGAGGATGGGAAGGTGAAGCATGGTTAAAAAAAAAAAAAAACACTGTACCTTCAGGTTCAATCCAGCACTGGTGAGCTTTGATCCTTTCTTTTCTTTTCTTTACCTAAAAAAATAAAAAATACAGAAAATTGTCCATTATAAAAATTATGCCACAAATGCTGGATCATGTTTTTTTTTTCTTTTTTTTTCACTTACTAATAAAAATTCCATGTGTGTGGTGGAGTGATTGCATATTGACAAATGAAGACAAATGGCTCCTTGCTGCGTATTTTCCACACAGCTTTAGCGCTCCGGGCTGCACGACAAACCAAAGTTCTGCTTTAGCGCCAACACAAATCTGATAAGTATGAAAGCAACTCCATGTTTTCTCAACAGTGGCAACAAAATGGCAGAAATAAAAGCTGTAGAACAACAGCCGGAACAAGAAGTGTCGTCCACGTCAATAGTTTTTCACAGTAGAAATATTTTTTATGTTATTGATATGGAAGAAACCAGCACTTTTGTTTCCTTGGCGATGAGTTTGTGACCAACATCTTCCTAAAGAGTCCAAATCATATTTATAACTAGAATATCCTGTTTTATTTCTTCATTCTTATAATTTGAGAAGGATGAACGTACACCTGCTGACAAACAGTCTCTTACCAAAATGAATCCAAATAACAACAAATATGTTATGGACAACTGTATTGGTCAATTTGCTATAATATATTAGCATCAGTGGGAAACTTTTTGTGTTTTTCTCTTTTAAATAAAAGCAATTAGATCATATCAGAATGTTTTCTCAAACGTTTTGCAGTAATTCAAAACTTCTCCTACACTTTTTACATTTACAAAAATACAATAAAAACCTGGTATTAACCCTAACCCTAACCTGGCTGCTTGCCTTCAGATTTCAGTAGCAGCATCCATCAGCAGGTAGGTAGATGAGGAAATCCCAAAGTGTGATCACAAAAAAGGAGGAATTAAAACAAGCAAGGTCGCCCGTCTGAAAAAATACAGTTGGAAGAAATTTGCTTTATTTCCATTTAGATTATTTATTCATCTAAAAAGACAACAGCATCCATCTGATCTCTGGGAGGTCAACCATGGAGCCAGGTTCTGGTTCAAACACCGTCCACAGAGCTGCTAGTGTGGACCAGGCCAGGCTCTGAGATGGCTGAATGCTTTAGGAGAGTCTGAATTTTTTCAACAAGTTAGAAAGAAGGTCGAACCTACTTGGCACTTACGACATAATAAAAATGGCAAATTGTTTCAAAATTAAAATATAGATGACACGCAGATAAAAAATTTAAACATGAGACTGAGAATAAACAATTTAATTAAAACTCTGCCGTCTCATTCTGTCTTTAGCTACTGTTTTAAGGAATATGCTGAATCCAAGGGCAGTAAACATCTCTGCAGACCGTACACATTCTGGACACAAACTGTTTCTAGTTTTACCTCCAGGTGTTGCAGAGTACTGTGGGTTAAAAACCAGCCTTCACAGAGACAGTCTCTTTCCCCAGGCTGTGAACACAATGAACACTTTACAGACTGAGCAGTCAGTGTATTTACACTGCAAAATGTCTTTCATCTTTACCTGTTCTTTGTATTACAGGTTCTCTCAGACGCTTTGGTACGTTTCTCAGATCAGAATTGAATTTGTCAAAGCAGCCTGTTCAGTCTTCACATCATTGCGTGACTTGAGCTGTTTCTCTTTTCTCTGTACGAGTTGTGAATGCTTCTGTACGTCGATACATGCGATCATGTACAATTCTGTCTCTGCCTTTTCAGTCCCTCATGTCATATTGATCAAAATGTGTTATGCAGGTCTTTGTTGCATAGTCTCAGCCTTCATAAAATTGACTTTTTTTGAGCTTTGCGTCATGTTATAAAGTTATTCCCTCATCAGAAATAAACCTGGATTGTTGCCTTGACTCTTTCATGCATGTTTAAGAAATCCTTTAATTTCCCATGGCAACCACTCAGCTGTGCAAAACGTCTGGTGGGACAGAGCGCCACCTTCAAGACAACTAACCCGGTCAGTTCCTACAGACTAGCCAACTGCAATTAGCAAACACCTGTGCCTCTACTAAGCTCATAGTTGCTACTTCTCAGAGCAAACATGCAAAAGTTGTCTTAATATGTCAAGCGTATTTGTAAACATTGCCATTTTTTTTCTTTTATGATTTTTTAGAGCATGACCTCACACAGATGACATACCTTTTTGTGCCAAATGTGGCGCTTTTATTGCCACATGAAAGATCGTTTCATCAACCTGCCCCACTAAAACAGATTGCAGGGTTCTCGGTCGGTGGTAAGTAAAATTCATGTCATCCCAACTTTTCTTGATAAACACCAAACCAATGAATTTATTCAGTCTTATTGTAGAAATGAAACAACTTGCGTCTGATCCGAATGGAACTCTGAAATTTGTGGACTAAAATGAAGCCATTTGGTGGGCGAGAAGGTTTAGCCAGTTTTCCCCAGGGAGACGGGATGCAACAGAAATGTCATTCTTCTGTCACGTCAACAACGAACTCGAACCACGTCACATCGGAGTCAGGCATGTGCTCTGAATATTGAGTAAAGTGACCTTTCTGATAAGGCTTGAAAGGTCTTTATATTCAGAGTCATGACTGTCAGAAGGACTGCAACAATAGGTCCATCATCATCAATCATGGTTTCATGCTTGGCCAGGGGCCTGTAAGAAGCCAGTGAGCTTAAACAGTCCAATCAGTTTTAAACTTTACCTCATAGATCAACTTTCCAATATAGGCTACATTTAAGGAAGTGGAAGTAGGATTAGAAAGAGAATACACTTGGTGTTCCTGTATCAAGATGTACAGTGACGTCTTTTGATGATTTAAATCTACTAAAACCTCAACGGAAGAGATCACAAAACGGAATATGTAGTGAGATGGGCGGATTCTACTCTTCTCTTCCATCTACAACAGATTCAAATTTGACTAGAAATAGTTTGGAATACAAAGAATTACATTTTTGACTCAGTGATGGCAAGACAAGCCCAGGTCATCACCCTCCACCACCGTGCTTCAGTCGCTGCTGATGGGCTTCGTAAGGGTTTCCTCAAACAACCTCTCTAAACAAGTCATGGCTTTTACGTTTTTATAAAACTTTAACATTAAATAGCCAAACTGTGGACTGCAGAGCTGCTGTCCACAGACCTATTGAGAGAACCAATAGATCTTCACCAGGTTGTTGCTTGTGCTAAACTTAGTTCAGCCTCTTGTGAATCTTTGTGGATACTATAACAAATTGGCGACGAGGATGGGATCAATTTGTTATATTCCTTCTCATAACTTAACAAACTATGATTCAACAGAACCTCAGTGGAACGAGACTTAGTTTATTAGCCATTTTTGCCTCAGAACAACATGAGATCAATACGCTCATACCACACTTGGTATTCTTCCACATAGGACACAAAATAGTACCATTGAATAATGTATTGTTTTATCACATACATAACAGATACTGAAAGCTGAGATACACAATTCAGCCTAAAGTATTCACTCCCCCCATCCAAATGCAGGTGTTTCAATAACTTCACTTTGTTTTTATGCTTTAAATTAATGAGAAGTAGTCAACCCAAGCATCCAAACATCCTGGACAACTTTCGATGGGTCACTCTCATTTGCTCTCTGACAGCCTGGATGGCTCTAAACGCTTTAAGGAATTCCAGCTTTTGTCCCCAAAACAGTCAATCTTGATACCTTTGCTGTACTTTCTATATGTTAACATGCTTCCACCATTGATGAGCTCATTTCTTGCTTATTAAAACCAAACATTAAAGCTTTATCATATTAACTGGCAATAGCAGCTGACAGTCTGCCTTGGGATTGTGTTAACACACAGCTATGTTAACTCACAGAGCTTGGCTGCTGCTTCCCTCTGAATCTTATGAAATTAGAGGGAGTGTGGAGTTCTTGAAATTTAGATCTTATTTTATTACAAAAAGTAAATAAAACTACAGTGTGAAATCTGTTGTGTGTTTTGGTAGAGCAGGAGTTTTTAAAGAGACAGGCATCTGATTTTAAGGTGTTAAAATACAAAGTCAAATTTCTTTTCAGTCATGTTTGATATATACATTTTCATAACAACTGAAGGTAACATAGTTACTTGATTGTGCTACAAAATGATTCTATGTGGATGTAAAGCATGATGCTGCCCCTTTAAGCTGCAAGTCATTTTAATAGTTTCTGCTAGTTCAGTCAGATTACATCTGTAAACAAATGCTAAGCTAAGTATCTGTCAAAGAGATTCTGAGCTTAACCTTGACTAGACCATTCTAACACAAGAATACACTTTGATCCAAGCTGTGCTGTTGTGTCTCTGGCTGTACTTTTAGGGTCTCTGTCCTGATGGAAGGTGACCCCTGACCCGAGTCTCAAGTCTTTTGTAGCCTATAATACATTTCATTCCACTATTTGCTCTGTGTTTTGCTTCAGCAGTATTTAAATCAAAATTGTCCAGTTACAGTATGACACTGTCACCACTATGTTTGTGCATCCTGCTTGCTTTTTTTTTTTACACACTTATTGTTTTGCCAATAGGCCAAAAAATATAAATGCAGTAGCAACTCTCTGCCTCGTGTTGTTTGCTGCCTTCTGTTTTCATATTTGACTTTTTAAAATCATGCAGAAGTACTTAGTTTGCTGCTTTAATATGTCAAATTCTTGGTAGCATTCTGTTTTGTGGTTCTTTTTATTACTTTGTTAATGCATAAATTACTTTATATTAGCTTTACCATTTAACCAGAGTGTAACAAAACTTTGAGTTACACAGGAACTAAATACACTGATATATATTTTTTAAGTTGAAATAAGTTTAAACATGAAAGTAAAAACATATTCATGATATTCTTTGAAATAGTTTTAGTGTCAACGGTCCATATAGTTTCCCATTACGTCAGTCTCAGCCACTAAGTTTAGAGCACAGCTTCCACTCACCTTCTGCCGTCTAAAGTGCTAATAACAACCGAGCCTTATCAAGGAGAGCGATAACATTTCCATTTACTTTCCCTCTGGAGCTACTTACTTTTTCCGTTTCCGTCGCCCTTTCCTCGGCAGAAGTCTCCTCCGTTCCTCCCTCCTCTCTGCCTTTTGGAAAGCGAGATGGAGAGAGGGAGAGCAGAGCAGAGGAGAGGAGAGGCGAGTCGGATCCAGAAGGAGGAAAATGGGAGTCGAGACGGGGAGAGCCGCCGCTGCACCGGGGAGCGCTTCACCGAGCCTCATATATCGCCATTATGTGGGTCAGAGATGAAGTATTCATCTCCGGCTCCCGGCGCGCAAGTTCCCGTTCATTCCCCGCCTGCGATGGTACAACCCGGGGAGAGAGGGAGCGAGCCGGAGTGTTTGGATAACCTATATTTGGTAAAGAGGAGCCCACTGACACTATTTTAAGATTGCCAATTGAGAGAGAGATTATGCTTCTCGTTAAATGGAGCGAGTGTCTGCTGCTCTGCTGAGGTCGCAGGATTATAACGCTCTTAGGAGATTTTGATACATAATAAAGTTTTATTATTAATTTATTTGTCGAAAAAAAAAACAACAACAAAAAAACACAAAAAAATACTGGTGAATAGCAGAATTGCAAACTTTATCTAGCTGGCTAGCTTGAATAATGAAAATCACCTTCAAGCAGGTATTATGCATACTTTCCAATTAGCCCACACTTCTGTATAAATGTTTTTGTTATTATTATTATGTTAAAGTTGTTTTGATGTAAAACTATCATCTATTCATTAGTTGTAACCATTATTAACAGAAATAAAATCTTGGAAACGTCAGGCTGTGTGTAATTAATCAATTCACTTTGTATTCTGTTCCAGGGCAACATGGAGATAAACCATGAACACACACTCACACCTGAAGGCAATTTAAAGACAACACAATAGAATGGAATAGAAATAAACCTTATCGTCCCACAGTGGCAAAATTCAGACACAAAGTTAAGACGTACTGAGCTTGTTGGGAGCAGTGATGGTTGTAGAGTCTACCAGGATCTCTGCTGATGCTCCTTTGTGAAGTTAGGATGCAGCAGTGTGACACTGAAGGAGCTCTCCAGTTCAACAACGGCTTCATGCATCAGGTGGGAACATTGTCCACCAGTGATATTGTTTTAGTCTGAATCCTTCTGTCTCCCACCACCTGCACTGGGTCAAAGGTCATCCTAGCACAGATCTGGCCTTCCTGATGAGTTTATCTAACCATTTCCTTTCAGCTGCTAAAAGAACAACACTGTATGGCCGATATCATCACAGAGTCAAAGAAAGTGCAGAGGAGCCCCAACATGGCTGGGAGAAAGTCAGAATAAATGATGAGAAGCAACGCAAGAACCAGGAGAACAAAGCAAAAGCCTGATGGTCCAGCTGTGGACCATCAGGCTGGTCCACAGCCTGATGGACTGTGGACCACAGTCTGTGGACCACAGTCCATCAGGCTGTTGAAAAGCAGGAACCTTTTCAACATTTAGGGTTCTCTGCCCTCTGCATATGTAGAAACAACTGACTTAAAAAGCTAAATGCTTGCTCCTTTAATGATCAGCATCTCATTCAGTATTGTGTGACATACAGGTACTGCACAACCTCCGTCTGAAAATAGATTCATTCAGTGCTTGGATGTTGCAGCAGGCTGAGGAACAAGTCATAGCTGCTTGTATTCATCTCAGAAGTCTGATTGCACGTTGTTAGCACATCCCACTCATCCTCTGGCTTACAACCGGAACACCAAAACTCCTAGAGACTCTTCATTTTGGAAGAACACACAGTCGCTTCCCCTGAAGACTCAAACCAACAGTGTGTGTAAGCGGCGCCCACAGGATGGATTTTGTCTGGACGACCACTCCTGGGAAAATCAGCAACTCTGTTGAATTTTCAGATTCTTTTGAATCATCACTGCAGAGTGTTGTAGGTTGGAAGTGGGCTCACAACTCTTTCCAGGTGGATGGGCAGCAATGGTTCTTTGTTTGGGACGTTCCTCCTCTGTATGATGCCATTTCCACTTATATAGTCTAAAACAAGCAAGCAGCTGACACCCCTGATATGGAGGTCATCACATGTTCTGATGTTAGTCAGTGAAGTGAACTGGATTCGTTGCTAATGTCCTGTGTCCTTTGGGAACAACCAGCACTTTGCATTTCCTCTCATGCCTTCTCTATTTCAGCTTCATTTTGTTCAATAAATAAAGAGTGTGGAATATTTTATGTGCTTGAACTTAGGTTGTGGAAAACCTTTGTTTTGTTTTTTTTAAATCACTCTCCGTTTCATCAACTCCCAGAACTGACATAGAGTGTACGTTCTTTCACATTTAACGCTGTCCGCTGTCATTAGATCCAAAGTATTTGACACTGATCTAACAATGGTTGAGGTCTGGGATTATATTTTGTCCCTTTCTTTTCATTAACACTTGTAGTTCAATAATAAATGACTTAGCATGAAGCATTGTCAAAAGAACAACAGACTACCAGTGCAGTGTGAGATCTCACAACCTCTGCATCAACCCAGGCACTCAAACAAAGCATGGTCCTCTTCATTGTACCATTATATAAGAGTCAGTATGAAGTTATGTAACTCCAATAAAACACTCTACTTAAGTTCAGACACAAAGGAGAGGAGGGGAAGTACACCGAGAGAAAAGACAGAACCAAAATAGAATATACTGAAGATGAATCCGTTACCAGTTGACTAAATTAGGTCGTGTTGCTTACCTGAAGTCTACTATGTTGTGTTTTTTTTTGTTTGTTTTTTGCATAAAGTTAGACTCTAAGGCCATGTGAAGTAAAAAAAAATTGTAAGCACAGCCTCTTGTGAAATAGCAGATTTTCTCCTGTGTTACATGTGGTGACAAGCCTTTAGCTCACATCTTCTTCTTCTTCTTCTTCTTCTTCTTCTTCTTCTTCTTCTTCTTCTTCTTCTTCTTCTTCTTCTTCTTCTTCTTCTTCTCTGTCATGGGCCCCAAGTTATGGAATGACTTACCTTTGCAGGTCAGAGAGGCCCCTTCACTGTCCACTTTTAAAGCTCGTCTTAAAACACATCTATTTTACTTGGCTTTCAACACCAGTGGGATCTAGTTTTAAATTGTATGTTTTTGTTTTTAAACAGTTTTTAATTACTTTTTATTATGTTGTGTTTTAATTGTACAGCACTTTGTATCAACTGTGGTTGTTTTAAAGTGCTTTATAAATAAAGTTGGTATGGTATGGCATGGTATGGTACATGTGAGCAGATCTGTCATTGGAACAGGCGTCCATTCTAAAACTGATAGAAAAACTGTTTGGCTTTGCTTTGTGGTTGAAACATTTTGAAAGCATACCTTAAACCGCAAAACAACTGAAACAGCTGAAACACTCAGTTCTTTTAATGGGTCAGTATTATGTAAAATCAACCTTTTTTATCTTTACATCACATTATAATGTTATTTGTAAATCTAAAACAAACCTGGAGTGTTGCTTTAATTATTTCATGCATGTCAGAGAATTCCTTTCATCCCCATGGAAACCATTCAATTGTGCAAAGCATCTTGGTGGACTTAGCTCCGCCTCCGAGGTGCAGCTCCTCCTCTAAGCTGCAGTTTCTGAGCTTCCCCTCCCAGAGCAGCCCTCCCCAGTGCCTCCCCCACTCAGCTCCTTCAGACTAGTCAGCAGCAATTAGCAAACGCTTGGTGGAACTGTGCATCTGCTGAACTCATTATGTTTCTCAGTGAAACGCTGGTGAAAACTTTGTTAAAGGGTTAACAGAGGAGCCATGCTGTGATGAGGCAGAGTTTCAGAAAGAGCAGGAGTTCCTTTAGGCTTCAATTTTATGGCTTTAAATAAGAAAGTAACATTTCTTTCAAGTCATGTTTGATACATGTAGCATTTTTATAACAACTGGAGTAAACATAGTTCCTTGACTATGCTTTGAATGGCACCATGTGCCTAGAAAATACATAATACTGCCCCTTTAAACCAAGTCTAAAACGAAAACTGATTAACATATTTGGTGCATATTGATAATTTTTATGAAGGCATTTGACAAAATGTAATGTTTATTGCTTGTCACACTATGCCTTGCTGCTGAAATGTGCTACACTAATAAATTTGACATAAACAGAGCAGTGAAAGTTGGAGTGTCTGACTTCTGAAAGGATTCTGGATTTAGTGGTCACCTCACAGCAGGTCACAGGGCTTTGGCTCAAACCCCAGCTGAGGCCTTCTGTCTCCAGTTTCCGTGACTTCCCCATGCATCCTTGCATCGTCCATGTTCCTCCCACAGTCCAAAAACCAAAACAAAAAATGTTGGGTTAAGTTCAGATTGCAATTTGTCTCTTCTCTGTCTATGTGTGATGATCTGTCCACGGCGCGACCCGGCCTCTCGCTCATCGCCCGCTGCAGACGGTCTCCACCGCAGGACGGAGTTTGGCTAATATCTTATGTTGGCACACGCAGCAGGCGGATGATGGATGGACGCCCAGAAGCTCTTTGATTCAGAGCAGAACAGGAACAGATGAGAGACACTGGCTGGTGAGGGTTTGTATCTGACACAAACAGGTTTGAACTTGGCAAACTTTACCTGGTGTAGTGGAGGTAGTGAAGCAGGCACTGTGACACATTTCAGATCGGGCACACAGTCGTTCCCTCACACACAATTAAAACATAAACATAAACTATAACCTATATCTAAACTATAACCTATATCAGACTTTGAACTGCTTTCTTTTTCTTCTGTTGCTTTTAGGTTAACATTAGGCATGTGAAGTCAGAACCAGTCTGTAAAACCTCCTGAGAAACTTTTGATAAATGTTAGATAAGGTTGATGTGTGCGACTGGACGACTAATTGCTCGTTGAACCTTAGTTCATCACTATTCATTTATCTCGTGGTGCTGGCAGGAAGATGCTTTTCCAGATACTTTTGTTTTTCCAACATACTTCAGGTGTTTCAGTCCAATAGATCCTTTTTAATAGACTGATTTTTCAAACCTCCTGAGCGTTTCCCTCTCAAATCTTTCTGCATCTGGAGGTGCACAAGTCGACCTTCAGCGTTCTTGTTTACTGTCATTTCCTAATTAGATAACAAACTCGAGAGACTGCTTCGCTTGCTTCCTGTGGCATAATCATGTGTTGCTAGGCAGCTGCTTAAAGGAGCCATTGGCTGCTGATTGTCGGGTCACGGTTCGAAGAATCATAAAGCTCAGGAATCTGCAGCAACTGGACGAAGATAATTGGAGAGAAGAAAGTTTTCTCCTAACAAGCTTATTAGGTGCACAGATATTAAGTAACATAAGAGAGAGAGAGTTTGTAAAAAAATAAAAATAAAAAAAAACACAGAGATTTGCTGCAGAGGATGCCATAGTTTTGCTTTTAAGCTTCATGATTTAGAGTTTGAATTATTCGGTTTCAGTGATAAATTTAAACACAAGTGTCCACCTGATATTGTTCAGTCAGTATGAAGGCATTATTATTATTATTATCATCGTCACTTTGGAGAACGACTTTCCATCCTTAGAAAACTTTTTAAACTGATTTGAACAATAAACTGAGATTAATTCACTGTTTGATAACCAGGATCAGTTGGAATGTATGTGATTGAATTGTTTTTGTGTGAAGTGCCTTGAGACGACATGTGTGGTGAGTTGTGGTTGTTTGAAAAAGTCAAACTGAACTGAACTGGGTTACATCACTACATACCTTCAACAATAAAAGCATCAAAGGTATGTTATCTGTGATATCATCTGTAAAGACAACACAATATTAAAATGAATTCTCTGAGTAATCAGAAGATTGAAGCCTGGTCATTCTCATTCTTTT